TGTGTGTGTGTGTGTGTGTGTGAGTGTGTGTGTACGTGTGTGCGTGTTAGTGTTCTGCTGTATTCCACACATATTTCTTGGTGGAAAAGACGGTAAATCTTCGCCACGTAAAGGGAATAATATCAGTTGGTCGATTCAATCTTCAGAATTCATCAAGATAGGAAGTCCCCAATCTAATCCATGTTAGAATGGATACATTCGTTCAGCAGACCTTGGTTATCTCGAACTTTCTCAAAGTCTGTACGACTCCAGCTTTTCGATCTTCCCCAGATTTCAAAACTACTTGCCTTTCCATTCATCCTTATAATTTATTCGAGAAAGTAAAAATCTCTCCTGACAGTCCTTCTATTTGTCTGTGTCGTAATGCAACAACAGTCAAGCAGTCAAATAATTTTTCAGGCTGATCAGGCGGAACTAGGGAGTGCGTCTTTTATCATCCTTAAATGTATAATGTCACCTGTGACGAATTGGCAATCGCACATTGAAGTGCAAGAGCTATAACCCAGTACAGACATATCTATCTCAGAAAATGACAGAGCTTCTAGCACGGGTTCAGTTTTTGTTCACTTGCAGAATAGATACAGCGACGTTTGACAAACTATCTGCGCTCATGTAGTTTACTCTTCTCTAATTCAAGAGCACAGGGAACATAGTAAATTGAGCCTCTCCCTCTCCCTCTCTCTCTCTCTCTCTCTCTCTCTTTCGCTCTCTCTCTCTTCTTTTCTTACTGTTTTACAACACAGATAGCTTACAGAAGCATGTTTTCAGACGAACCTGTCAGCTCCAGCTTATTATTTTGTGGTGTTGAAAACGATCACATGGCGGGAATGTTAATTTGTACAGGTTTTCGTTGCAATGTTTTCATTTGATGTGGGGTCTGTTTGTAAGATTGCGTTTCAGATGATTCCAGTATCTTTACTATATTCATATACACGAATATAAATAAATGTTTCCAGAGGAACACATGTTATAATTAAATCCAAACCTGGTTTATATGTTCAGTTGCTATTTCCTTATCTTGTATACGTCTTTAGTTTCAATTTCGAATGGGCTTTTTCTACCAATGATCTGGCAAGTATGCAAAGAAAATGTTTGTCATTGCAAGAACTCCACTGATCAGCAGGCGTGGGCGTTGATCTTAAAAATGACACTGATTTCGATGTTTTTGATTTCCAGAATTTCTAACAGTTAACTAAAGTAATGATTGTCAAAATTGTTTTCTGATCTTTGAAAGTCTCCAACTTACTATTCACTGATTTTTTAAATTGTCTATTATGTACTGTTAGGATTTCCGCTGTTTTAAAACGACGTGAGTTCATTTCCCATCGGAGGAACATACTCTTTGGGTTAAACAAATATTTCTTTCATTCTTTCTTTAT